GATTAGTATAGTTATGATATATTATATTCAGTTTCCCTATAAATAGAATATAATCAATAAACTTTGTAAAAAAAAAAATAAAATAAAATAAAGAATATATTTATAAATATTTAAGAACTGACTTATTTGTACAATACTGCAGACAAGTATATTTTTAAAATCTTTTCTTTATATAAAATATGAAACCTTTAATTTATAGAATAATTTTAATACTCTTTGTAGCATTCGTATTCATTATTGATACATCAAAAAAAGAAGCAAATAGTAGCAACTACTGTAAAATTAAAGTACTTACACTTGATGATGGAACTATTGTTCATTATAGAACTACTCAAAGGGCAACTTGGAAACCTTATAATTGTGGTTGATAAGTTTTAATGATTCGAATGAATTCTAAATATTTCATTTAGACGAAATTATTTCACATTGGCAAAAAAATATTTAGAATTTTAAAAATACTATATCAGATATATATATTTTTTAAGTTAAATCAAAAATTATTTCGATCTGAAGAAATTATTAAAATATTTCAGGCTTTTGAAATAATTTAGCACAAAACACTAGTAAATTGTTTTTTAAAATTTTAAAATTTTTTTTTATGATTAATTATTCATGAATATAAACAGTTAATATACCGATCAGGGTGATTATTATCACTAGATCTAATAATACAGACACATAGATAAAAGTATTTGATGAATTAACTATAAGTTTTGTAGAATTAATTTTCAAAATTAAATGTATTTCTTTTACTACATTATAATGATTTTATTTATTTAAACATTTGATGCTGAAGAAATATATTATACTATTAATGAAAAATGGTCATCTAATGATTTTAAATATGTTTTGTTTGCTTTCAACCTCAAAACTGCAAACATTTTTGGTGAATCAGAAGCTTTTGTTGTTAAAGATAAAATAAATTAATATTAATAACTAAGTTGTAAAAAAAGAATATCTGGTATAAATTTTATTTAATTTATCAAATAAATTTTATAAATTCATAAATTATTTACGTGATTAAAGTTTGTTGTATCAATTACATTCCCTTGCAGCTAAGTTCTTGTAATTCTGGTGATATAGTCTAAATTTTATTTATGAAGTGAATAATATAAAAAAAAACATTAAAATAATATTAATTATATATATAAATATATATATCGATATAACTTATAAGTATATACAGTATATTGATATAACTTATATATGTTTTTATTTATTTATAAAAATCTTGAACTGAGATAATGTAAATGATAATATTTCTAGAATAAGTGCATATAGAATTAATTAATAATTCAAATATCTTTTCTTTAAACATGCCAATACTAAAAAAAAATAATAAAAAAATGAAATATTCTTTTATAAAAGCCACTTATTTTTATTAAACATATGACAATTCATCCAAAGCTTGTAAATATTTGAAAAACTATCGCAAGAAAGGCTTCAATTATACAAAAAAAAAGCCACACCCCAAAATACCCAAAAAAGTACTATGCAAACATACTGCTCAAAAACTAAATGATGTCGGTGCAGATGTCCAATCTGTTATGAATATTACAAAGCATCATACAGTAGTGGGATATAATATGTATTGTTCACAGAATGAAAAACAACGCATCAATATTGCAAAACTTATAATACCACCTGGTACCAAAAAGATATATACATTTGTATATATTTATTTTACGTTTATATTTTACGATAAAATATTAACTTTTTATCTGATAAGAATCCTGAAGCAAATTTAACCAAAGAAAGCAATGAAGGTGATGGTGCCGATGAAATTAACTGTGAAAATAACAAAATTGATGATGAACCTGACAATGAAATATTGATAAACCGAAAACCAAGCCAATTTGCTTACCCGATCTCGATCTCAATCTCCCCTTACTCCTTTATCTGTTCCACAAACAATTCAACATGATAATACTCAAGGATTTCACTATAATGTTTTAAAATTTAATTTTACTAATTGTAAAGTCAAGATTTTTCTTAGTAATTAAAATAGTTTTTTTAAATTGTAAAAAACTTCAATGTAAACTTTAAAATGCTATAATAGCTAACCGGGTTGTAATATCCCGGCTAAGCTTAAAAACTATAATAATGCTTCACTGTTATATTAATACACATAATAAAAAAATCGGGGTATTTTACTTAATAATTTACTGGGTTAATAACTTACTAACTAGTTACAAATTTCCTCCTGACAAAAGTCATGTAGCCAGGGTATTAACATGTGAATCATTTTTGCCCTTATTGATTCAATAGCTTATCGAATGAAATAATTTACATGCAAATAAGTACCGGTATATTGGTTTGAATTTGTCCGAATTTGTCCGAATTTGTCCGATCGGAAAATGTCGAAGGGTGATTTTCCTAGCAAATCGATATGCATCAAAAAAATATTGGTATTTGACCAATCGTTATTGATCGCTAAAAAAAACCCAGAAAATCCGACATATTATATGATTTCATAGAATAAGAATAATATCGATAATAATTCACTAAATATTTAAATTTTGCAATTTGACGATTCTGATCG